TAACTCTCATATGGAGTGTTCGTATGGCTTCGGTCAAAATTGAACAAATCATGCGAAGGATATAACGAGCAATTTTATAAAATAAATTTGTCGCTTTCTTATACGGTTACGGAGGAGATGCAGTCACAAGGAAAACAGTGTTCGGGGAGATAACTCCTACAAAGAAAAGTATTCAGTTACGCAGGGTGAATTTCAAAGGCACATAAACTGTTCGATATCATATACCAAACATCTAAGCGACATCTTGCGAAACAAAATTTATACGCAAGAAATAAAAGTGGTGGAGGAAGAAAAAAAAAAATAATCAGAACAAAACCAATATTAGGTCTTTTCACGGAAAAGTGGAAAGACCTAACTAAATTTGTATTCTATTCAAACGGTTTTTTTTATGTATAAATACACATCCACGTTCATTTTCTATATAGAGATTACTCTATTTATATATTACATTATACATATTTATTAACAGGTTAACTCCTAACTATCCTACTGCCTGTCGATACTTTTATTTTGGCATTGCACAAGTCATGTCTTCTTTGACTGTCCATGACATTAAAACACTAAATCCCAGGGAAGTATTTTAGTTGATTTTAGTCTCTGATGCATGATTGTTTTATTATTAATTGTTTTTGGCTTTTAACTAGCTTTCTGTAAATGCGAGTACTTTCAACTCGTACTTTCGTGTTATAATTTGACCTGTTGATACAATTTGTAATGTGTTTTTGTTATTTAATGTTTACTTATTCAGTGTTATATCTAGTCTCATTTTTTTTAATATACACCACCTTTGATAAGTGTTTAGTATGACGATAAATTTTCACTTTTGTTCTCGTACTAGGAACAACAAAACTATTTATTTTGTAAAAATTATTTCCGTACTTCATGTATACCTTACAACAAAATTATTTTTATTTACCTGTGTACGTTATTTTATTTGGCGGCATTTTGTCCAAGGTTATGGTTGTCTTTCTGGTATTGTTTTACATCTAACCCCCTTGTTTTATTAATTTTGTATTTACATTGTGTCATAGATCAAATTTGGTGTCATCCTGGTTTGCCCACATTTAATTGCAGGTTTATAAAAACATAGGTTGTTTTGTTGTTTTAACAATTATAGTTTATTTCTGAAATATAGTCATATTTCCTACCTTTATTTTACCTGTAAATATTATAAAAGATACTTATTTCTACTATTAAATCAAAGAAAATGTGCAAAAATATTTTATAAATTTAACTGAAAAATGTATTGAATTTGACAAATATTTAAAAAAAAATATTCAAAAATGTTTATTATTTTGACAAATTATCGACAAAATTTTTAAATTGTTGGTACATACTGGGGAAAACAATGTAAAAAGTAAAAAGATGAAACATTTTTTTTTTTAATTTTTTCACCTTATTTATCTTTTTTCTAATTTTCATAAATACTTTGTTCTGAAATTTAATATATAAAAACCAATTAATTCTAAAAAAATGAAATATTATAAATGCAGCTTTACAAATGACATAATTTGAACAGTAATCTGCATCCAGCTATAGCACTTTCAATTTATAGTAAGTTTTATGTTCCCACTAGTGTATGTTCTACTGTCAGGAAAAGACGAGAGCATCTACTCACGCTTCTTCAGACACATACGTTACATTGCTGAACTTCATCAGTTACAACTTCAACCATAAACAGTATTTATCGATTACGAGACAGAAACCAACAACGCAACAGGGACAGTGTTACCAGGGGTAACCGTGAATGGCTGCTTCTTCCACTTTATCCTGTGTATTTGGCGACTGGCACAGAAATGTGGACTAAAGTCATACTATAAGGAAAATGAAGACACCACTCGACTTATACGACAAGCCGCAGTACTATCTCTCAATACACACTACCTTGTTGACGATGTTTGGCTTACAACTTTAGAAGACATTGGAGAAGCTGACACCATACCTGCTACAACATCATTTACTGATTATATGACAGAGTCTTGGGTTGAAGGAAATCGCTTTTTGTGGAACCATTGCTTTACCGAAGGACCAACATCACCAACCCTTTGGAATTTTGGAACAATAAAATTAAGAAGAGACTCTACCATGCCTACCCCCAACATCTAGAAGATTATCGAGTTACAGCATCCCATCTTCTTCAATTGAACTGAATGACTTTTTGAAATATTGTAATTTGTGACTTACATGTAGTGACTTTGTAAATAAAATGTTTGTGACTTTGTTAATATATAAATGTTTTGTTACTTTTGAAATATATATACAATTTTGTACTTTTCATCATTATACAGATAGTGACCAATATTACTTATTTTAACCATAAGTGCTTTTTATTTTCTTATGCAATGCATGTATAAATTTGATTCATAAGTTACAAAAATTATGTTTGCAAGTAAAGAAAACTTTACCATATATTGATGTATTTATACCATAATCACTAAATTATTATGAAAAAAATATTTGATTTATATATTTTTTATCTATACAAATAAAAGTGGAACTACAAAATGAAAAATACCTGAATATATAGAAAACACAGATAAACTATAAACTTATTAAGTTGGAACAGACTATACAATTGTATGCTCATTAACCCTTTTGTCTTTTTTGTTTTCTTTACTAATAGATAATTGGTATAATTAAATGTGGGCAAACCAGGAGTAAACCATCAAATTTATTCGTTCAGTGTATGTTCACTTGTTTTTGTTAATATGTCTTTTGATTGAGTTAAGCCATTTCAATTGATATTTTATAGTTTGTCTTTCTATGTTGTGATGTTACACTATTGTTTCAGGTAGGATGAAGGTTGGTGCCTATTAAAACGTTTAAACCCGCTGCATTTGTTTGCACCTGTCCTAAGTCAGGAACCTGATGTTCAGTGGTTGTCGTTTGTTGATGTGGTTCATAAGTGTTTCTCTTTTCTCGTTTTTTATATAGATTAGACCGTTGGTTTTCCTGTTTGAATGGTTTTACACTAATAATTTTTGGTGCCCTTTATAGCTTGCTGTTCGGTGTGAGCCAAGGCTCCGTGTTGAAGGCAGTACTTTGACCTATAATGGTTTACTTTTACAAGTTGTGACTTGGATGGAGAGTTGTCTCATTGGCACTCATACCACTTCTTCTTATATCTAAATGTTGGTTGACATTTAATTACATAGAAAACTTAAGATTGCGCAACATGAAAAATAACTTTTAAAATGAAGTGAAAAATTGTTTTTTTTTTCTTTTTCATAGAAAGGTACACTCGATTTTTAGACTCATAATACTATGCAAAAATTAAAAAAATATGATTATCTGGTAAAATTACAGTTATTAAATTATTCGTTAATTTTGCAGATGAGGAATTAAGAATTGTATTAGTTGGTAAGATTGGAGTCGGGAAGAGCTCTACAGGAAACATGATTCTCGGCTATAACGGATTTAAGGCAAAACGAAAATCTAAATCGGTGACAAAAAATACGAAGTCAAATCGAACAACAATAAGCAATAGATCAATATTAGTTATTGATACTCCAGGTTTGTATGCCACTACAAAAGAGAACAATCGTCAGAATGTACGGGATGAAATTAAAACCTGTACACAAATAGGAGCTCCTGGAATTCATGCAATTATTTTTGTCTTGTCAGCTGCAACACGATTCACTGAGGAAGACAAAAATTGTTTTCAAAATTTTTTTGAAATATTTGGGGAAAAATTTTACCAGTACGCTGTTGTAGTTTTCACAGGCGCTGATATTTTGAAAGAAGAAAAAACAACTTTGAAAAAATATATTGGTTCCGACACTATTTTAAAATCATTTCTACAACAATGTGGTGATAGAGTAGTAGCGTTTGATAATAAGAATCCCTCCCCTCTGGAAAAAGAAGGACAAAGGAATCATTTAGTATCCATTGTCCTCCAAATTAACGAATCCCTTAAGAAATATTACACGAATAAGAACTTTGAAGACGCTGAGAGGAGACTTCGTGAAGACGCTGAGAGGAGACTTCGTGAAGACGCTGAGAGGAGACTTCGTGAAGACGTTGAGAGGAGACATCGTGAAGACATTGAGAGGAGACTTCGTGAAGACGCTGAGTGGAAACTTCTTGAGATGGAAGCAAGGCAAACAGATCAAATTGAAGACATACATAATCTATATGAAGAACAAAACGCTTTAGAAATGGTCGAACTTGATATGATGTATCATGAAAATATAATAGGACTGAGAGACAAAATTAGACAAGAGATCGAAGAAGAAAACAAACAGAAAAAAATATCTAATTTAATAGAAATGAGAGACAAAATTAGACAAGAGATAGAAGAAGAAAACAAGCAGGAAAAAATATCTAAAAAAACTGAACGATGGTAAGAACGTTATAAATAACTATTTATATAATTATTATCTTTTTTTCTCATTTTCTAGTTAAATATGGAAGTTTTTGTTTGAACAATTTCCTAAATAGAAATACTACGTAATAATATTGTATTTCAATAAAAATTATATTTAATAATTTGCTCTTGAACCCCCCTTTTATGGTTTTATTTTATGTAAAGATTACTATATTTTGACGGCATTTATTTTCAAATCGTTTTTACAGGCGGTTCCTTAATATATTGTTTATTTCCATATAATTTGTATGGTATATTTCCTCCTGATATTAGTATTACATATTTTTGTTATTGTCATTTATCGAGGTTGTTGTCATCACACTCAACTTTCATTTACTAATTTACCACCTACATTGCAATATTTCTAAATAATTACATTACATGTATATTTAATTATAGTACGTTATTTTGATTGGCTAACAGCAATCTCGCGTCATTATGAAATTAATCTTCATTTCAAAATGAAATGTAACATTCATGATGACATGAGCTTCCACAATAAAGTGCACAGGTAAATAAAAGAAAAACTTGATAGAAATCGTGTTTTCGTGATCCTAGTAAAACAAATCTAATTATAAGTATTGAATGCTTCTTTTAGTAATTTTATAGGGTTGTAAAGCGTTGACCGTGCGCACATTTTTAGAATGAAGCGCTTCCGCGCTTCATACAAAATGTACTTCGGTCAACGCTTTTACACCCCAATAAATTTACAAAAAGAAGCATTCAATTCCTAAATAACAAATGGATTGTTTACTGCAATAAGATAATTGTGAATATTCGCATCCCGCTTTTCTTCAATAACATTCCCTTTATTGTTTCTTTTTCACCATAGTTACAATATATGTGCTTGCTTATTCTATTAGTAATTCTTACGGATACATATGGAATTCTAAGTTTAAAACATTTCAACTGAAGTCCAAATGGATTAATCGCAATTCGAAATTAGAAGCTCATTAGGTTTGAAATTTCGATAATCGAAATTTAGTTTCTAAATTAAAATTTCATCTTCATAATAGCAAACCCGAAGCATTCATTTTTGTAAGGTCTGAGATTGTATAAGCCGATGAAATTTGTTATTTTAACACAGTATAGCTTAATTCCCTTACGATTGCTTTCCGATATATAATGATCGACATGTAAATAAGACAAAATACCAGCTAAATTATTTTTTGTATAGACTAAAAGAAATTTAAATTGGTTTGTTTGCATTTATTTTGTTTCCATGGTATTTTAGGTATCTTTATCAAGGAAACTTATATTAAAAAAGTCTCTCAACACAGATGCATGTATGTCTGATGCTCCAAAGCTGTAGCTTCAAGTATATTTATTCATTTTGTATTTTTTTTTAATTTTGGTTTTTACGTTCGGATACAACAAAATTTGATAAAATTTCTTCTTGTTTCATCAGTTCAATTTCATGCATTTCAACATTTTGAAATATAATATATTTCATTGACTGTGATAGTTTCGTGAGTAAAAGTTGTCTTAATAAGTGTTATTTTGGATTTGGAATTTGGAATTTCATATCAAGATATTAAATTTAGAAATGAGAATTCAAAATTTGAACCTCAGATATTTATATTTCTCGCTGTCGTAAATTTCGATTCATCTTGACGTGTTCCATCCTTTATTCCGAAGTTTAAGCTTTCTTTTTAATAATGCATTTTATTTTTTGAATATTTTTAAATATTTCTGAATATAATATCACGGATGCGAACGTACATATTGAGAAATAGAAACTTTCTAATAATATTCTCGGTTAGTATTTGTATAATCGAGAAAAATCTATTTCAGATAAGTGAACACCAACAGGCTCCTTAAATTGTGAAATTGATTGGTTTTATCTAACATCATTTTTTTGTGTGTATCTCATATAATCGACGTTTAACACATACAAATATATCATGGTTTCAGTACAGTAACGTGTTTTTTTTAATCAAAACATATTTTCTTGCAAAATCAAAGAACAATATTAATGTTTGTTTCTAATTTCATGTTTGTCACAAATATAAGTCCGAGATGTGACACATCAGGTAATTTGCAATATGATTTCAGTGTCATAAAAGGTTGGAGTAAAAGAGAGCGAAAGAAAAGCAAATTATTTTACATCGTAGATTTTCTAGAAATAATGAGCTCACAGATAATATCAACGAGAAACTTAAATGATACCAAAATCTTTAGATTAGCCGTATGTGTCTATGTACTAATTTACTCCGATTGGTATGATACATAAATTATTATGATTATTTTTCAATGTGCACATATTGATAATCCAAATGCATTAACTTTTCAGCTGAAGTGAAATCAATTATTACCGTTAATGTTGTATTCAGTACATAAACAGGCGGATGGTAATATATCATATAAATGGAAAACATTGTCTCCTTCACAATCTTTCGGAACTGGTTCCTAGTTAGTTGATAGTTATAGTGCATTTGCTGAGTGCCTTTGTCGGGTTTCAGTAAAATTTCATCTTCAAAGTCAAAATCAGTTGGAATCAAGTTCAGCACACCTTATCGTTCATAGGAATTAATAAGCTTTTTCAACCTCTTCGATGATATATCTTTTACTTTTAGTCTTGCTATTATCATTATTATTATCATCATTTTAAACTTCCGTCATTGAATTTTCTTGTCCTGTGTTTTGTTTCGATTCATGTCGATACGCCCCTGGACCGAACACTTTACTTTGTAAGAGTTGTCTCCCTTCAAAAGTGGGATTGCAAAAATTACACAATGGAAATTCTTAGGGAGCTACCATTTGATTTTTATGGGGGGGGGGCTAGGATGAAATTTGAAATAAATAGGCAGGACAGGAGTTTTGAGTAAAAAAAAAGGCAAGATGACAATTTATGTAAAAAAAAAGTCAGGATAAACTAAAAAAAAAAGGCTGGACCGAATAGAGTGAAAAATAAAAAAGCAGGACAGAAATTACAAATAAAAAAAAAATGCAGGACAAAATTTTTCATCCTAACCCCCCCCCATAAATATCAAATGGTAGCTCCCTTATAAGGTTAAGTGTATCAAAACCATAAAAATAAATTAGTCCGTTAGTATTCTAAATTGAATTGTTTCATACTTTTCATATGATCTTCTTGTATTTTATTTTCAGCACTGTTATGTAGAGGATTATGCCTTACCACAACACAGTTTCCCGAAAAGAAGAATTTTAATTATGTTTCATCCTTGTATAGTTTATTACACGAATGTATTAAAAACAATGGCGGGATTTGTGATTCATTGTGTCTGGAGGACTTGCATTGAAAATACTGAACGTTGAACTTGTAACAACTCTTCGTGATAGCATGTTTCTGATTAAAATAAAATCTCATAACAAATTTAAATGGAATCATGACCTTAAATATTAATGGACGCTCGTTAATGAGATCGTACTGTGTGTTTAACTGTTTGATAGCTCATATTTAAGACATAGTTACATTTGTATAAAGCATCATTGGATTTTGTAATCAAAACATCATACTGTATACCTTTTTAATTTTTTATAGACACCAAGTAGACTGTAGACGTAGCATTTATACATGTATATCAACTTAATTTACCAAAGTAAAATGAAAGACAAAACTTTCAGTGCAAATAGGTTGTAATAACCAGTTTAATTCTCCTTTCTTAAAGAGGTAATAAAAAGGAACCTACATGTTTGAAAAATTTTAAAGTTCGAAATAATCGTTGAAAAACGCAAAAAACTTGATAAAATTTAATCTTATAAATAAAGAGATATTTGCAAAATACTGTCGGTTCGCCATTTGCACACCTGAAAGATTTAGTAAAACACGCCACTAACATCCTCTAATCCTACCCAACGGAAGTGACGTACAGTGGGTCACCCTGATCAAATACGTGTATTATATCGTATGTACACAGATCAGCTCGGAAAGTAAAATAACAGTTTAAATATATATCGGTGACAAATACCAACCGAATCTACATTGAAAATATTGATATACATTTATCGAGGCTTGATATTAAATCGCAAATATTTTAATCAAATGTTTATTAAAAGTATTGAAAAAACTTCCAAGAGCACAAATCAACCTTTTTTTCTATTAAATATTTACATGTGCATCCAAGAGTGACAAAATAGTTATTAATCAGTTTATTGATGGTGACCGCGTATTGGTAGAAGCAGAAGTAGAACCGTGCATGTGAAGTTCCATGGCGGAAAAACGGCTTTTAAAATAGGACACTCCCAACACGTGCTTCCAAAAGACGACGGAGGTCGTAACTTGTTGATTTGTTGTTAAATAAAACTATGTGGGTTTTTCTGGGCTACAAAAAAAAAAAAAAAATGTTCTTACTTACTTACCGACGGACTTTAGTTACAGCAGCATTTCAAAATTATATAAGTTTTTTCTCCAGATAATGTGAAGAATTGCGTACTGTCAGTCACAGTAATCTGCTTGACTGGTTTAGAAACCTGAATATGTATTGATAAAGCTATTTTCTTGAAAATGAAATACTGGATATACTTGTAATTAACCTATACAACAAAAACCACTGAAATAAAATCTTTAGAAAAAGGGGTGTGCATTCCCAAACTACTTGAGTCCTAAATCATAAATGTTATGATCACAACAAATAGGTTTTTTTTATTAATAAAAAAATTATGACACACTGTCTTTAAGATTTTGAAATATTGGCCTTTTCTTTCATTTGAAATTTTAAGGAATAACAATTAAATAACCAAACAAAACAAATATAAATCCTCTCGGTCACCTTTTGATCCTGCAGGCCATGGTAATTTAAACAGTCCGCACTTTGACACCTGTTGATAAGTATACTTCCTGTAAGGTAATAAAGATCAAACAGGATTCTATCCCTCCACTCAGGTAATTGGCAACTTGGACATGCTGAAATGCCACCTGTTGTTTATAAATGAACTCTATAGATTGATAATTAACATTATTAAATAGGTATTGTGAATACCCGGTTTTTAACTTGCAATTTTTATTACACGGAAAAGAAGCCCTACCGTCATATCTTGTCAAGATGTTATGCAACTTCACGTTCATGTATTAAACATATTTATCCTCGACTCAATATTTTTTTATTAATAGCTAGAATGTAATATATTGACCGTTAATTTTACTTTTCTTACGATCAGGAACATTTTTTAAGTTGAACACTAAATGTTGAATTACCCCAACCCCATCCCCCCTTTTTCTATGAATACACATTTCTAATACACTTCCCTTGTGAAACATATATTTTTTCCATTTGACAAATTGGTCATAATAAAGAATGAGCTTTGAAGGGGTGGCGAAATGCATTGGCTGTGCATTAAACAACGTTTAGATAAGCCGAAGAAGAGACCCACTGTGCGTCACTTCCGGTGGATTTGTTTTTCGGGCTGTTTCCGGAAGTAGCGTTGATTGGTTTTTCCTTAGGTAAAAATAGTTGAACTTTACATGCAATTATCTCTGTAATAAGTGGACCAAATTGCATCGGGTGTTTTGCATATTTGATCAATTATTTCGACCTTTTAGATAAGAATTACTTGTAATAAGTGTTTTAGTACCTCTTAAAAGTTCTGGAGTAGTTTCTGATACTATCCATTAAGTAATAAAACTGATAGTAGATTCCAACAAAATACTGAGCATGTGAATTTGATTATTATGGTTTTTTTTACCACATTCATATTGTCAACTGATTTAAAACATCTAGTAATGTTCAAAGAAGTAAGTATACTATTTTCATCAAGTTCAAATGCTTTATTCGATTAGTCAGGGATTCATTTTTGAAATCTTAAATCAATTTCATTTTCATTTAAAAACGTTGTGCTGCGTTATTTTTTTTAATTTTTTTTTTAATTTGATGGATGTTCAGGGACAAATATCGTTTCATGTAAGAAAGTTTTAGGGAGTTGTTTTTACAACATATCACAGGCACTTGTCTCTGAAAATAATTTACCTATATACTCTTATATACTAAGTAACACAAGGTACTTAACTCACATATTTGAGAAATGTCAGCGCTCGCGAACTTCCGTTATATTTCGACTCTTCGGTTGTTTATCCAACTGAAACTTGTTATGTCTTAAATCTATATCAAATTATCTACACCGTGAATGGTGTATAACACGCCTATTTCTATTGTCGGAATCATTCGTAGCAGGCCTACAAAGTATGTCGTCTGTAATTATTTCGTCTTCTCATAGCCGATTGGAAATGTACAGCTTGCTCAGAGACAAGTGCCTGTGAATATATTGTTAATTTAAGTCATATGTTTACTGACCATGTGCTTACTTGGAAACAGAACTGATGACAAATATCTGTATATGACAGTCGGATGACTGGTTGGAAATTCGATCGGAAATCAGCTTGAAAATCAGTTTGATTTCCGAACCATTTTCACGAAAATCAGAATTAAATAATGAAAGGAGAAACAAACACTAGAATATGCATGCTAGTTTCTGTACACAGATATACGTATTTTTTTTAAAGTAGATCATCGGTATATATTTCCTCAGATAGAATTTTCATAAACTTTGCCAAAATGAAGATTTTACTATGCTTTTCAAAAATATAATAAAAAGTATGGGTCACCGTGGTATTTTTCAAGCTACAAGTCGTGCGAAATTGCACAAATTTGTATAGATTGTTCACGAAAAAAAAACATTATTGTGAATAAAAAGAAATCTATGAGATAGAACTTTGAAATAAAATATGAGAAGATAGATTTTATAATATGCTTTTGAAAATAAAAATAAAAAATGGTGTCACCGAACTTGTTTTCTTGCTAAAAGTAAAAAATGAAAATTTCACCGTCATAAGACATAAGAAATAAGACACTAAAGCCCCCACATAGGTTATATTAATAGTACAACATTTTAACAAACAATAAAAGTGTGAACATATTTACATTAGAACAACATGGTAAACAATGGTGCAATAATAGTATACATAATGAATACGAATATGTGACAGGAAGTACAAATTATAGTAACATGATTAAGCACAGTCATGTATTAAAAGGTTTTAATAACATTTTGCAAAATTTTGCTATTCGAGTAAGTGTAAATAAATCCGATGTATTCATCAGTTTTTTTAAATTTTTAAATATTTGGGTTATTACATATATTTAAAGGTAAAAATTTAGCTCTTACCTTGTTGAAAAAGGTACATTTGAATAAGTAATGAAACTCATCACCAAGTTCATTAGCATTACAGAGTGTCATTCCAGTATAAAACTTTTACTATAAGAGTTATCTCCCCTTAAATGGTTTACTTGAAAAATTGATTCTAAAAACACAAATATTTGGTATTTGTTTAAATATGTTGGATAATGCAATAAATCGCTTTTTTTCTTTATACAAATAAACTGTCTTACACATAAATTGCAAATCTGTTTCAAAATTTGCAGATTTGGGCAAAAACTGACCGATTCAATTATGTACTGCTATTGTACAATTCAAGATGGCGGTATACAGTGAATCTACTTTAACCTGGTAGTCGGAGAAACGAAAAAAAAAAACGGGTCACCTGATTAAGTATGTTGCGTTACCTTTTATAATTGATATTAAAAATTAGACCAGTTTCACATAAGCGACTTATCAACCCTGATCTCGAAATCATATGCGCGTTTTAGTTTAAATCCCGCGATAATTAACGATATCATACGTGATAGGGGGCTATCCAATTTACCCTTATATATGGTATTACAATAATAAATACCGATAATACTCATCTCCCTCTCTTGGTGTGTGCTGGAGGCAGGTAAACAGATGATACCAGTACACAGTATGTTTGTCACGGCGAACGTAGTTATTTAAGAAGTTGTCACTGACATCATAGATATAATAGCTATTTTATCTTTGTCAATTGCTGACATTAAACAGTTGTATATTAACATGTACTAGTAAAATCCTTGTTATGTGAAAAGTATCTGTTTACTTATTCTAATTAATAATGAATTTTCAATAAGATAACTTTATCAGTAATTGAATATCCTGCTTTACCATAAAATAAGGTCAAATTGCTGAATGACCCCCTCCTAAATTATTGAAATATATCTAGTTGCATTAACCGTTATATCTCAGTGGAAATTAGGTACATGTATCATATACAGAAACAGGGTTTACATTTTTAACATCTGTATTAGGGGATGACCATTTGATTTTCGGGGGGGGGGGGGGGGGGGGGGGGATTTTAGAAAATGAATATCCTGTCTTAGTAAGAGAGCTGAAAATAAATAATTTTGCCCACGGCAAGATGAAAAAGAAAAATCGGCATCACAAAATTCAGGACATAATTGTGCACAAAAGTAAAATAAATTTTTGCGCAGTAAAAAAAAAATTATAAAAATGCGTAGCAACTGGGACAATAAATCGTGATTGGCAGTATAATATTCCCAAGTAGCAACAGATGACGATGAATATTCAATCCGAAAAAAATCCATCTGGCTTCCGTCAGAATATCAAATGATCGTCCCCTTTTCAGCAACTGTATGTAGAAAAGGGTACGTTTTTATCAATTGTCACTGGTGAGATTGTACAAGGAAAAACTAGGATTCCACATGGCTAAGGTGTTAATTGACTTCTTAATTTATCAGTGACCTAATATATTGATATGAAGTGACCCCGCTTATTTTTCTAATTTATTCTTCCCGCTAAGTGAACGACCTCTGCGAGAATCAAAGCATTTCTTCGTGACAATTAAAGGTACAAAGTCAGGCGGTATATTAGATCGTCTATTACTAAAACCTACAACACAACAGTAGTCCGTTTAAAAATCTTTTAATGTGTCATTGTCAATAAAGTTTTTTCGTTAATATATATTTTGATTCAAATGATGCTCATGCATATATAAACGCAAACACTTAATCAGTTGATTGTTTTTCCGGGACTGCATTGTCACTGCTTACATCAACCGTAAGCCCCCAGTCGATGAATTCTCGGGAATTATCACGTGATTTCACAGTTTGGCTAATTAGGTTAGTCATGCGCAGTTAAATGTGAAACTGGTGTATTACATTACAAAGTAAACCATGTAATTACTGTGTCAATACATGTGTATTTGCATTTGGATATCCGTCTGAGTATCGGACAAATTTTCTATCCACACTACTGTTATCAAATACAAGTTTTCTTATTTAGTCAATTGGTCATTCGAAAAAATCTTGCTGCAAATTTATTTGCTGTAACTCATATATATTCTTCTTTAGTGAAAAAAAGTAACTATGCTAAAAAAAAGTCACTACAACTGCAATGAGAGGATTGCCATGAATCCCCTTAATAGCCGACTTCCTGTTTTGTTATATATGTTTCACACTTAACGTATGTTACATTGCTGGTATTTTTGATATAAAAAAAAATCTTTAATTACATGTATACTGCTAAAATTCACACAAGGGAACTGACATTAAATAAAAATAATATATACAGCAATAACTGTCTTGTTTGTTATTTCGATATTTTAGTTTTATAAGGGAAACTTTACATAAATTTCCGACAAGAGAAACGATTCTTGGTTCCCTATTGTTATCGTCCTATAGTCCTATTGTGGACGATCATTGCATCATAGTGTTTCCTTAGCCTCTTCTTACCTTGAATATTTCCAAACTTTTTCACTATATTCGAATTTGATAATGAACACTATGGGCCCTACATCCTGTCAATACTTATATTTGTGCATTGCAAGGGGTGATGTTTACTCAAATTGCTTTTGACGTCTTTACACTAAATAAGTAAGAGATATACTAATTGATATCTTACTTTGCTATACTATACTCCCTTCGTAGTACCGATCTGATGACTGTAGCCAATTAACTGATGCTTGCAGTGTTTTCTTCTGTTGCGTTTTTACACCGATGTTTGATATTCTTAAGACCTCAAATCCTTAGAAATTCCATCAGGCGTTTTACGGAAATATGAGCTATTGTCATCATTGTGCGTCCGTCGTCTGTTGTTAGTCGTCCAACGTTAACTTTTACAAAGATTTTTTCTGACCAACAATTTAACCAAACCTGACATAATTGATCTAATAATTTAGGAATTATGAAACGTTTCATCACCAAAAATCGGTCGTAACAGAAACATTCAATATGAAATTTCTACCAAATTTCCTCTTCTACCAGATTATTAGATAACTTTTTTGTGAATAATTGCCCTAAGATGATAAGTGTTAACCAACTTGAGCGGTTTTGTCAAATAGTATCGTCAAAAACATAAAGGGTAGACAAAAACTATAAATAGTAAAAAAAATGATAATCAACAAATACCAGATCTACGAAAATGTCATGTGACTAAAACTTTAAATTGACCCCATGTGTTACTGTTCTAACAAATGTATACATGTATGACGATTATCAACCAATCTTAGCATGCATGTTTGCTTGTTACTTGAAAACGTTCATAAATAAATCGAAGATACCGGAGGGATATTCAAACTCAAGAGTCGAAGACAAACTGACAACGCCATGACAAAAACGAAAAACGAAGAAAAGACAAACAACAACTGTCTATAAAACACAACATAGAAAACAGAAGATTATGCATTACAAACCCCACAAAAAAACAGTGGTTACTTCATGTACTCTAAAAGGGTAGGTACACTGCTCCATATGTGGCATCAGTCATGATTTTCATGTAAGTACAAATTCGTAGATAAGTCTCATTCAGGAATGTCACACAGGAAAAGAAAACGGTATTGTGGTTACGACAATTGGAACATATTATCCGTCGTCATCTTTGAAACAGAAATTCCATAACGGTCAATCAATTCGTGATTGTGTCCGTAAAATTTCCGAAGGGATGACTTCAACATAACCACTTCGAACGTTTGGTTAAATAGATTTGTTGTAAGCAGCAACCCTCTATCAAGGAAACATGATAACACAAGCTTTCAAATTGGAATATCGTTTAAACTAGGAGATATATACTCCATTTGTAGGCGCTGTTTGAATGTTGCTACATAGAAATGAAAAGTTCAAAATAAAGAAGTTGAAATCATCTCTTTTGTCGAAAACTATTCAATGTTCTCAATCGACCCTTATATTTAATTTCTAGGTGTAAGTCAAGATATGAGGCAGACTTTACTGTATCTACTGTATACCTTTTTTTCAAAATCGATGGGATAATTGCGTTCAGCATAATTACCAAACTTTGAATTATTTATTGAGGACAAACTCTACATAGCGGTACGTGAAGTTCAAGGATAATAAAAGCTTCTTTTTATTCTTATTAAGAAGATACTGTATGAAGTCTGCTAATATGAATAAAAAAGAACAAGTCAGTGAGAAGAGGGTCACAGTTTGTTTCCATAGAAATGTCTATTGTTTGTTTGAAAACGCTCCAAACGTAATAAATCATCAACTGACACGTTATAGAAGTTATTGCCTTTAAATGAACAATATCATTCAGTTACTGTAACTGAAATCAAAATCTCTTCCTGTGACATATTGCCACGATCAACGGATACACCATGTTCCCTTGTTCTACCACACAGAAATTTTTTTCGATGTATCAAACATTGTTTTTACCGTTTAAACGAAATTTGAGGTTGGTTTTTTTCAGGAACATAGAATGTTATTAATAAAACGAAAATGTCAGTTTAAAATGCTTGGTTTTCTTTTTTTTTTTGTTGATTTTAACCAAAAAGATAGCGTCAAAAATTTCATTATGTTCAGAATGTTTACATATTATAACATGATAAATCCTCAGTGTTTTGATTTGAATGAAAGGTTTGACACTTGAACTGCGATTTCAGGGGCAGGGGAGGAACTTTGCTTTTCATCACGACACGTATGGATGAATGAATAGAATACATGTGTATAGTCTCAGATTTTCCTGATTTTTGTTTGTTGATAGTTATTGATAAACTTATCAGAAATGTGGTGACACAAATTCTTTACGTCCCCGTTGCCAAATGTAAAAAGAAATAACCTTCCTTCTAAGTGACCCTGGTGGAGACCAAGGAATTTCAGATACACCCTATACAATTATACACACAAATGAATTTCTTTAAAATCGATTTTCGTCCTTTATAAATATGAATAAAAAAATTGTTAAACAGCAACCGAAACAAAAAAAAAAGAACATATTTATTCTTAATCTTTCAATTTGTAAAGAGCTAGATGATGTTTGATCTTGAATGCTCATTATATTATTTTTCAACCAATTGTTTACTTTCTTTTAACAGAATTATTCCTCATACATGTAATACCATACATGTAGCACACGGTCCGTAAAATATACCTACATTTGGGTATATTTAATATAAAGAAATTATTTCAAGAACTCTCTATTTTGTATTCAAACAATTAAAAAAACAATATTGTGACTTTTTGTACTGTCAAATCGGTGACTTTTTGTCCGCTTAGCAATAAAACAGTACAAGAACCAACTTTTTTATCGGCTCTATAAAAACTATTTTTTCTGAATTTAAACTTAAATTTTTACACATTTCACAAAATGAGAAATATTTGCAGAAATTAAGGGTCATGGCACGAATTCGAGTAGATTTTTCAGCAAACAATTTTATATATATATATATATATGGCCGATAGCCAGTGCTTTTGGTACTTGCCTGAAAATTTATGAAACAGTCTTTTAAATTGCTAAATGTTCATTTATCTGTAATTGTGTTTAATTCATGTTGATACTTCCTTCGGAAATTTTTACCTTACACTACTTTGTCATTCTTTACACAAGTACCAATGTAGGCCCTTTTGGTTTTTATGCTAACATTTAGGAGTAAAAGTTTTGACTTTCCTTGTCAAAAGCGTACTCGATGGATTTATTTATTGAGGACGAGAACAAATTTACAATAATTACGATATTTAAATTCTGCTGGGGTGGTGGACCGGACTAAAAGACGAGAAAACGGACTTCCACTGAAACGTGAAGGCATGATGGATTGGGGCAGAAATGTTTACTTGTGTTATATTAAAATTTTGTCTTTGGCAATTCATTCTTTGGCAATTCATCTTTGGCAATTCATAATTTTACTATAACACTTGCAACAAGCCACCCTTTAGAGAGCTGTTGCACGCGTTCTTGAGAGATACCCACTATCTATAGGTTTAATAAAACAAACGTTCATGTATTGGTATACACTTTAACATTCCCAATCAGAACTGATAAGGTAGGGCTTAAAATCAATATAAAGTTAGTAATACC